TGAATCATGGTCGTCTTCTTCATTTTGGAGACAAGGACAAAGGGTATCATTTTAATCATTTTACATGTATAAGCAAATTTTACGAAACATTTAAAAATAACTTATCAACTTATCACGTATTGGTACCGTCATAAGCTAATCCAAACACTTTTTATAAAACTTTAGTTTGACACCACATAACTTGATAAGTATCTTAAAAAAAACATAAGTTGTTTTAATAAACAATCCCAAACACCCCTTTATGTTGGTTCTTAATTTGATGAGGTAAAAATGATATAACAAACAAAAGTATAAGAAGTGGGTTCTTATAAGAACCTCCGTTAAAGATTCTCTAAGATGTATTATCGAGTTTGGACTTTGAAGAGGAGACAAGTGTATTGTGGTTACAAATAAATGTCCAAGTCTCAATTTCCGTTCGACTCAGTTCGGAAAAGCCAGACCCAATTTTTGGTCCGACTTTAAAGCTCGATCAGATCAACTTGTTTTCCGATTTCCGGTTAAATTTTGGTTGGAAAACGTAAAAATTTCAATTAAGTTTTAAAAGACTAGGTTTGAAAAGGCTAAATCAAACCTTCTTTCAACCTCCAAAGATTTTTGCTCATTCAAGATCGAGCTTAGAAGGCTCAAACCTTATACATCCCTAACATCGTATAGAGATGGTCAAATCCATGCCCCGTTGCAAGTTTTATGCAAATTCAAAACTCGTGTTTGATTTTTATTTTATTTTTTTAATTTGAAACTTTTACATAATACAAGTTTTTCTTTAAGATTTTCAAGTTTCTTATTAAAAAATTTAAGTTTTCCTCTAAGTTTTTCAAGATTTTTTTTCCTAAACGTGTAATTTAACATATATCTCAATATTCAATTTAAACATCGTAACCATAAAAACATGTATAACATTTTTTGTATAAAAATAATTTAATTTAAAAAAATGGTTCAGGCCCTGAACCTGATTTGGGACGGGTTACCGTACCTAGAATCAGTCTTAGAATTTTTGGTCGGGACCAGTTCTAATTGTTAGGGGCCCTTTTTATGATTTAGCTAAAAAAAAATTAGACCGCAGCTAATGAATTTGTTGGGGGCATCTGCCCCTGCAACATTGCTCTCCCAAAAGTATGGTTTAATATTAATTATTATTTATTACAATTAATTATAAATATTCATAAAATTTAAATATTTCTAATATTAATTATCAAATGATATTTTTATTATTAATTAATTTTAATTATACATCAGATATTATTCATTAATACTTATCAATTATATCAATTATCTTTATATATTTATTTAATTACTATTAAATATAGTTAGTTATTAAAACATAAATATAACAATATTAATAATGTTTATGTAACGTAGGAGGTGTTCGGGATTACTTATATAAAATGTTTATTGACTTATTCCGATTTGGAATCGGTAATAAGAAATTTTTAGTGTTTGAATGAAAAAAAAAAGCAATACTTACACCAGTTTGACATCGATAATAAGAAGTTTTTGCATGTATAAGCTATACAAACACCTTATTACCAGCTTATTACGTTTTTATACAATCATAAGTTAATCCAAATATTTTTTATAAAACTCTGCTTTGACACCACATAAGTTGATAAACATTTAAAAAAAAAACATAAGTTGATTTAAATAAGCAATCCCAAACACCCCCATAAACTTTAAAGTTATATTTATTATGTTTTCATATATAATAAAAATGTGTTAAATAATCTAAATAAAATACTAAATTTCATTATTAAATATATTTTTTTGAAAAAATATTAATTAATTATAATATGTGAGATTGACCATTTTATTTTTGTTCATATTATATGTAATGTTTATCTAAATCATAAATAATTCAAATATTATAATCTATATTATACTATATTGTAAACATTTGATAAAAACTCTTAAAAATCATTTTTTGTACATGAAATACTGTTTATTAATATATATTACTTATAATTCAAGATCACAAGTAAGTTGTGCATAAGTACAACTGATTAAAGCTCTGTATTTGAATATTTAAATGCAGATAAATATAATCAAATACATGATAAACATCTCATTTTAAATGTAAAAAATCTAAAATATAATTAGGATAATTGTTGAGTTCTAATATAACACTTAATTAATATCTTTATGAAAAACTATCCATACTATATTATTAAGTATATGACAGAAACTCTTAAAAACAATTTTTTATGCATTAAGTATTGTTTATTAATACATATTACTGAAAATTCAAGATTGCAAGTAAATTATGCACAAATACAACTTATTAAAGTTTCATGTTTGAATTCGTATAACTAATTGTAGATAAATATAATCAAATACAAGATAAAAATCTCATTTTAAATATAAAATATATTTAGGAGAATTGTTGAATTATAACAGAATACTTAACTATTATCTTTATAAAAAAATTATATTATTAAATCAAAAATAAATTACTTCGTTATTAAACCAAAATTATTATAAAATTTTGAATTAAAAAAATTACATAAAAAAAGGAAACTTTTAATATTTATTTGATATTAATATTGATATATTTTTTCAAAATTTTATAATATTTTCAAATTTATATTTTATTCAAAAATAAAAATTATCGTTTTCTCAAAACCACATAAAATTGTATTATAACATAGATAAAGACAAAGAATAAGATAAAACATTAAAATTGAAATGTATCTTGCTGCATTATGTGAGTACTCTCCTACTGTTATTAAACCAAAATAAACTACTTCATTATTAAACATAAATTAAATTATAATAAAAAATTGATTTAAAAAATTACACAAAAAATGAGAACTTTTAAATAGTTAATTTACTAAAATCGATATAACTTTTTTAAAACTATATGATATCTTCAAATTTATATTTTATTTAATAACAAAAACATTACTGTTTTTTCAAAAGCACATAAAACCGTATTATATTGACGGAAACAAAGAAGTGAACAGAACATTCAAATCGAAATATATCTCGTTACATTATACGAATATCCTTCTAATATTATATAATTGGTTCATCCCTCATGAAACTCAAATATTCATTTCAGCTTCAAAATAAAAGAAATGAAAAATCATTTCCATTTTTCCCAATTTTCATTTTTATTCTTATTATCATTCATCAATCTAAACCAAATAGAAAGTTTTTATAATGATGGGGAAAATTTGAGAGGTTTCTGATATTTGAAGGGTGTAAGTGTAATATTATTTGATTTAAAAAGAAATGGGAAATACAACGGTCATCTACTTGGGATACGAGAAGCAAGGGAATCAGAATCGCATGTGGGTCGTGGTTGGTACTCCGTTTGCTTTATACCACAACTTCATTCTTTACTTCAATTAATTAATCGTTTTGAACTAATTTTCTTTTTTATTGTTCAGAAAATATTTTATTTTATTTTATTCAAAATATAATTCAAAGTTCTCAATTCATTTAAATAATCTATATTATATTATAAAGTATTTAACAAAAAAAATTAAATACTATTTTTTATTCATAAAGTACTGTATATTGATGCATATTACTTAAAATCCAATATTACAAGTAAATTATGCATTAAGTACAACTTATTAAATCTTCATGTTTGAATTCGTGTAACTAACTACGAATAAACATAATCAAATAGAGAATAAACATCTCATTTTAAAATATAAAAAATATAAACTATAATTAGAATAATTATCGAATTCTAACAAAATAATTAATTATTATCTTTATAACAAAATTATATTATTAAACCAAATATAAGTTATTTTGTTATTGAAACTAAATTAAATTATAATAAAAAAATTACATAAAAAATGAGAAATTTTAAATAGTTAATTTGATACTAATATCGATATATTTTTATCAAATTTTTATGATATATTCAAATTTATATTTTATTCAAAAATAAAAACATTATCGTTTTTTTAAAATCACATAAGATCATATTAAAACATCGACTGAGATAAAAATAAAATAAATATTAAAATCAATACGTATCATTACACGAAAAACCTTTTAGTATTTTTAAAATTTCTCTTACCATCATTTTAATAACAATTTAAATTTCAGAGCTTTAAAAAAGTACATCTCCTTTCCTTATACGGCCCCCATCTTTTTCCCTTTCCTTTTTAGCTTCAAAATTGAAACATATTTTAATACTCCATAATTCCGTATTATAAAGTATTAGAAAGATACTCGTATAATATATCGAGATAGATCGAGATAATGTTCCTTTTTTATTTTTTGTCTTTGTCGATATAATACGATTTTATGTGATTTTAAGAAAGCGATAATGTTTTAATTCATAACAATTTAAAAAAAATATTGATATCAATATCAACTTAATTATTTAAAAATTCTCGTACTTTATGTAATTTCTTTAATTCAATTTTTTTATTATAATTTAATTTAGATTTAATAACAAAGTAATTTTATTTTTGGTTTAATAATATAATTTCTAAAAAAATAATAATTAAGTATAACAAAATAATCCTAATTATATTTTAAATTTTTGATATTTAAAATGAGATATTTATCATTTAGTTGATTATGTTTATCTGTATTTAATTACACGAATTCAAATATGTATCTTTAATATTTTTATTTTTAAATCTAAGTATTGAGGTTATAATAAAGTTTGGAGTTAAATAAATAATAATAACTTTATTATTTTTAACTTCATATTTATATCCATATAGTTTCTTTTAAAAATAATTGAAGGGCGATATGATATTGTACTCTGTATTGTTGCAGAAAAAAGATGGGTGTTAAGATTTGAAATTTGGCCAAGTTGGTGAAGTTCCCATAAAGTTTCACTTGCAATGCAACACTCTTAGAAAGTCCATTTTACAACGGCTACTTTTCCACGTTCAACCTCCGTCAAGATTTGAAATCTAATCTTTGTTGTTTAGCTCTCTTCCATTTTAAAAACAAGGAACAATCAGATTTCTCGTTCATTGAACCCCCTTTCATTCCCATCTCTCTCTCTCTCTCTCTCTCAATCAAAAATGGGTGCTTGTTGCAGCAAGACGAATCCAATTTCTTCTACGCCTACCCCACACGAAGTTGAAATCAAACCTCAGCAACCAGAGAAGAAGACCAAGACTGCTGCCGTCGCCATTGTTACTACAGCTATAGAGCAACAAGTTCCCAAGAAGGAGGTTTTGGTCGTCAAACATCGGAAGAGTCATGAAATTGATAGACACCCAGATCAAGAAACCCGCAAATCGATGGACAGGAAGAAAACCCCCAATTCCTTTCCTACTACCGATGTTTCCCAATCGGCCACCACCGTCGCCGCCGTTTCTAATGGTGAGTCGGGGAAAGCGGCAGGTGCTACGGTGAGAACCTCTAGTTGTACCAAAGAAGAGGTGGATGCGATACTCATACAATGTGGGAGGCTTAGCCGGAGCTCCTCCGGTGTAAAGCCTGCAGCTGCTGAAACTCCTACCCGCGGCCGGAGGTATTCGGGTTCGAAGAGGAGTTATGATTTCGATATGGAAATGGGTTCTAAGAATGATGATGATGATGAGGTGGTGGTGGTGGATGGCGACCACCACAGGCGTCGACCGCAGCGGGAGCCTAGGGTTTCATCTCCTTCTTCCAGAAGGAGGAGTAGAGAAAGAGATCCACAACAACAAAGATCTGGAAGTAAAGAAAGGGGAAGTGGGACTGGCAATGGCGGTGGCAGGAGAGTAAGCAGATCCCCAAATAGAAGATCGGAATCACCGAATCCTAATTCCACCGGCAGCAACGCCGCCGCCGTTGGGGGTAGTAACATTAGGCCTGGTAAGATGGTCTCCGTACCTGCCACCGATAAGACTAACAATACTGGTGGTGGAGAAGTGGTTACTGGTGTTGCTACTGGAGTGAAGAGGATTCAAGTGAAGCGAAACACCGGTGAGGCGGCCCGGACTGCTGCATCTCCACGTTCTAGATCTCCGGCGAGGGCAAACCTTAGGGTGTTAAACGAGAATCAGAACCAGCAGCCATTGACACTGAGTCGAAGCAATTCCAGAAAGGCTGAGCATTCTCCTTACAGAAGGAATCCACTGGCTGAGATTGACACCAACGCTACCGGATCTGAACAACCGGCCATCAAAGTAAGTGTCTTTTCCCCCATAGATTTCAAGATTTTATCTGCAAGGATTTTATATAAGAGCCTGGAGTTTAAAAGGTTAAAATCATTTTTTGCAGGTACAAATGCAGAAACCTAATGGTGAGAAGATGATGAATAACAAAACGCACAATGTTGTTGTTACTAAAAACTGCATAGCCAAAGAACACCAGATGATTGATGAGGCTAAAATCGCAGTCGAAAATCCTAAAATCGTAAGCAGAACTCGGTCCTCAAGGCTATCTCGAGACCTAGATATCAACCCTGAAACTTTACTCAACCCAAACCCAACGTCCTATGCTAGTTTATTACTTGAAGATATCCAAAATTTCCACCAAAAGACCACCACCACCACCACGACTGTGGCGGCGGCAGCAGCAGCTGCAGCGGCACCATCAGCGTTCTCCCTCCCAGCTTGTGTGAGCAAGGCATGTTCGATTCTTGAAGCTGTAGCTGACCTGAATTCCGCCACCAGCTCCAACGAGCGGCAGTTCAAGAAAGACAATCTTGTGGAATCTGAGATGGTGGTTAATGATGATCTGATGGAACCAAGTCTCCACAAGTATGTGACTGTTCGGAGGGGTGGTGATGCAGATACTGAAGAACAAGAATCATCAGGGAGCAATAGCTTTGCTGGTAGTCAACAGTTGAGTTGGATGTCATCTTCTTGGGAGCCAAATTCTGCTGATTCCTCAAATTGCTGGAGTTCTTCAAGATCAAATGCCCGAGATACCGAACTTCTGAGAAGTGGGGAGTATCCAAGAAATGGAGTTGGACGTGGGCGAGTTGGCAGCCATGGTAGAAGTGCTTACTCATTGCCGAATAACACTGCAGTTGCTTTAACCTAATCTGTTTTCAACGAGAGCAAATTTCTTTTGTTGGTTTGGTTGCAAACTTGCAACTGTTTCTGTAAGTCGATAGAATGTACTTGATTCTTCTTTTAATCTTAAAAGAACCATGCTTTAGTACTCATACTCTGTGCTGTTGATGAAAGAGCATCAACTGATTCATCCAGCAGTTGTTTTTCTCTTTTAATATATTGCTTGGCTATCAATAAAATGTCTAAAATACATCAAGCCATATACTTTGGCTGATAAAACACCCTATAATGATCATCAATGGTTATGAAATGTGATACTATTTTCTTTGTCATTTACTCGATCTGTCATGTTTCTGCTGTATACCATTGTGTCTGCCATCGACGAACAACTCCTATTCACCCGTATGCTGGTACGCCCACCCTCCAAATGTTTTGACAAAATACTCCTAAGAACAAACCTGTCCCACCCTAAACCGCTCAATATCATTTAAGAGACAACTGATTGGAGTTAGGAGGTTATGCAAATTCATTCTCTCTCCATATCTTCTATCTCAAATATATAGACTCCTTACCTCATCATTTTGAAACACCTCATGATGATATACCTCTCGGCAATCCTACATACTATCATCACCTTGTAAGATTTCGTGGCGAATATTCTCATGTATCTTGGTGAAGACAGACAAAGTCCTTGACCCTCGCTCCAGTACAGAAGCCAAGTATAGAGCGCTAGCTGACATGTATAACTCAGGAATCGACATGGCTTCGTTTGGGTTCTATCTGATATGGGTGCTTATAGACATCTCCGACACACAATTGTGGTGTGACAACCTTAAGCGCCCTAGTAAATTTATAAGAATTTATAAAGAGAGTAACGAAAATGTTATCCAAATTGCTCATAATATTGTTTTTCATGAACAAAATCTACTGAGATTGACTACCACTTTATTCGTCGACATGTTGTTGTGAATATCATCCGCTTAATTCCTATCTCTTCCACTGATCAACTGCATATGTCTTCACCAAAGCTCGATGACATGAACCCGGATCTGAATCACATTGTCTTCCCAGCTCTTTAGTTTTAATAAAAATAAGATACTATTATGTCTTCATTTTTCTTTAGTTAATGCTTGGTCAAACATGTTCTAATTTTATATCTCTGGAGACCACCCATCTCGAATCGGGTTAATTGGCCTCTAATAAATCATCTTGAATTTGAGGGGATATAAGTTATTACTTTTGTAATTCCTCTCTCTTTCAGTGATCAACTGCATGTCTTTACACATGAGAATTTTGTAATTAATATATGCATCCCAAAATACTGAGAAGTTACAAATAGGACTTGAGAGAACAAAAGTGCAACCGCTATATATGTACTCGAAGTGACTATTTGAACTTCTAGCAAACTGTGACGTTTTTATGGAAAACGGAAGAGATACATCGAGTCCATACACCTTTAAAGTTCGGTTTCTTTCAAGCAACACAGACTTACAAGAATTTAGGAAAGGTGTCGCCTTTCGTGAACCTAAAATCTTCTTCTATATGTGTGTTTCTTTCAAGGGTAATTTGCACTATGAAAAAAATAAGTTACTTTAACTTGATTCTTATTTTGGGTAATGTGCTTTTAAAACCATCATTTTGGTACCTAAAATGTAAAATTTTAAACATATAAGTACCTGGATAACTAGTTAAAGACTAATTTTAGATTAAAAAAAAATCCATGTCACTAAGCATGTCAGCAAATAATATTGAGTTAAATACCACATCACTCGCCACATCAGCATGATAACTGGTAAATGCTTCAATCTGTCACCCGGGTACTTAAATGGTTAAAACTTTACGTCTTATAAACCAAAATAGAAGTTTTGAAAGTATGTTACCCAAAATAGGAACCAAGTTAAATTACCCTTTCCACTTTACTGGCAAACAATCTTAAATTAACACACTCTCAGTCTCTTTGTTACATTTGTTTCTAGCCAATTGTGTATTGTGTTTCTTGGTTTATTTCTTAAATATACAAGGGAAATTAACAAACAAGTGCGAAAAGGATCATGGAAGATTATTTGTCGTCAATGATAACGGATACCGATAAGAAGAAACCTGAAAGAAAGGTTGAACACCTGGTTGGTACGGTATTTTCTTGGTCTCTCAGTGATATGCATAACCGAAATCTATACAAAGACAAGCTTTGTGAAAGATTTCTCATATCACTATTAATTCTTAGCAACTGATGAATTTTGCTTGCTTTGTATTATAAATTTAGAAGCCTTGTGGTAGAATATCGTTTATCTACTGTTAACCTCCAAGTTTTCGAACTACTTGAGTCACATTTAAGAAAAGTGGAATTTTAATAAAGAAGACAATATATTCATTCTAAAAATGGTATTTTCTTGATGATTTAGTTTTATTCTTTGTATATCATTACCTTTTACTGACTTTGTTTATACTTATCGAACAGGTAGTAATGATTCCCAAGACATTTTCATCTGTGTCTGAATATACCAAGTCTTTCGTTTGTCCTCTTTTCGTAGAGACACATGCACTCGTAGTCGTAGATACTAGGAGTCAACCGTTCTCCCACTGCCGAGAGCAAAAAAGGCTGAAGGTTTTCTGCTACCAAAACCATTATTATACACCATAACATATTGATTAGAAGAGATGAAGGATTTTATGTACCTGAAGTTGGAGATCTCATTGCTTTGACTGATGTAAAGCCCAGATCTGTTGATGATCTTAAGAGACCAAACAAGTCACACCTTATTGCTTTGGTGCAAGGCATGGAAATCGAAAAATCACAATGTAAACCTTTTATTTTATCATCGAAACCAATCAATCATCAACAAGAGGTTTTAAGTTATTCTAAGGAGGATCTAAAATATTGTGGTTTATCTTACAAATTTGACAACAAATATTCATGGTTTGTGAGCCCTTCACTCAGAGCTACAATGTGATGCGTTGAAGATGATAAAAAATGTGCTCTGTAAGAGCACTAGACATCCTTTTCTTTTAATTGGCTAACCAAACACTGCCTAACTTAACTAAGCTTGCTATTTCTAACAGGTTAAAGAAAGATGTGCTGAATGTTCTGAGAATACAACTAGAGACGAGACTTTACTGAAGATGGGGGAAGCTCTCAAATCATTCCAGCTTGTTAGTTCGCAAGAAGCTGCAGTTTGAGCTGCATTGCTGCAAGGCAGGTCCGGCCCTGGACACGTGCAGCCCATATATGCGACCGCACAGGGCATCCTTTGTCGCTCAATCCACATCCTCGTCCTCCTGATGATGAGCTTAAGTTCACAGTTCCTATTGTTTTTAGGATGGCTATACTTGGAACGTCGTGTTGTAGTCTTTGAAAGATGAGTTGCTAACTTGATATTCGAGTCAAAGTGTTCTATGTGATATCTATGGTCTTGTTGTACGGTTATGATATAAACTTTGGTTATGAGAAAACGATCAAGGAAACGGAAAGAAATATATTAGCGTGGTACAATGATCACCAACGGTTATGAAACTTCCATTTTTATAGTTTGGGAGGTTGCATGCTATCCTAACCGGTAAACTGTTCAATTTAATAAAAAATTATTATTTTTCTTTATTACTGAAACTGTATCACACCATTATAACTAGTGTTATACCCATCCGTTGGTTGGATACATGACATGACTTTAAACAGATGGTAAACGTACTCGAAACATAAATAAAGGCATACCAGACACAACCATTCGTAACTCTAGACACAAACCTGTGCACTCAAATAGTTTCCTACCTTTTGCTGCAGTCTTCAAATTCTCGTAGAGAAACCATACACGAACAAGTACTATAAATAAAATCTTGACAGCTTTTTGAACCTGAAAAACAAAATTTGGTTAAAACCATATTGAGGATGGGAAGTCGAGGAGGAAGAGATTATGAGGTTGGGGGTTTCAATCAGCTTCGGAAACTTGTACCTAAAGCAAAAAGATATGTATCTTTTAAAATTCAACAATAATTTTTTTACACGCTTATATATACATATAGTATAGATAGATAGATAGATAAAACGTATAAAATGAAAATGTATGAATAAAAAACAAATTAATTCATAGGTATTTATGATATTTAATAGTATTATTAACTCAAAACATATATTCAATATTGGTCTCAATTTGAAGGTACCGAAGACACGATTATAATGCAATAATTTGTAAAAAAGGGAACGTACTTTTAAAATCAATTTATTTAATATACGATTATTTATGTTTAATACAATAAAAATGTAAAATGAAAAAATAAAAAAGTAAGTGATATAAAGTTTATCAAATCACTAATTATAAGGATCTAAAATGTAATTTTAAAATTGAAAATAATTTAGTGAAAGATCATGGGAGGTTGGAAGTTTTAAGAACTTGTACACCATTCTTCATTCAAGATAACAAAACAACCATCATTATCAAAGAGACCCATTGGAACTCGAAGGAAACTGAGCCGTTTTCATTGTAACTGTAACCCATTGAGTCCATGCCTCTTCGTTTGCTTCTCTAAAGAACTTTGAAGGGTCAACTTGCTTTCTTCTTGTACCTACTATTTTTTCCTGGTTTCTGTACTAGAAGCCTGCATCTTCTTGCACATGCATTAGTTGTAATGCTTACCATTACTCTACAGGCAAACAACCTTAATTAATCTCTTGGTTACTTATAACCGCTTGTGTATTGTTCCTTTGTTTATTAAGTATCTAAGGCAAAGGAAGAAGTGCGAAAAGGATCATTTTGTTTAATGGCAACGGACACTGATAAGAAGAAGGCTGAAAACAAGGTTCAAGGACTGGTTGATGTGGTGTTTTCTTGTCTCTTACTGATGTGCTTAACAGAAATCTGTACAATGGCAAGGTTTGTAAAGGATTTCTTATCTCATGCAACTGTTACCAGATGATGAATTCGATCTGCTTGTAATTTACGCTTTCATGCAACTGCAAAACTGTTGAATGTTTTTTATTTATTGATTTCTTGTCATTTGAAGTTTTCATGATTAATGGGACAGATAGCAGAGAGCCAGAGATTCCCAAGACATTTTCATCTGTGTCTGAATATACTAAGTCATTCGTTTATCCTATCATTGAGGAGACACATGCGGACTTGCTTTCAAAGGTACTGGGACTCAACCATTGCCCTACTGCCAAGATTATAAAGGTGCAAAAATCTAAAGGTTTTAAGCTTCCCAAACGATTATCATACACCATCGTACTTACCAGACGTGAAGGATGTTATGTACCTGTGGTTGGAGATCTCATTGCTTTGACTGATGTAAGGCCAAAATCTGTCGAAGATCTTCAGAGGCCGCACAAGTCTTACCTCATTGCCTTTGTCGAACGAATTAAGATCAGAAATTCAAAATATGAACTGTCGGTTTTATCATCGAAACCAATCTATCAACAAGAGGTTGAAGATGATATTGGAAAAGATTCAACAAGCTATCGTGTGGAGGATGTAAAACATTTTGCCGTTTGTCTTACAAATTTGACAACAAACGTTCGTATTTGGCATGCACTTCACATGGAGATGCAAGCAGACGAATTGAAGATGATAAAAAAAGTGCTTCGAGTCGATTTTCCTGTAAGAGCCGCATCAAAATCTTCAAACAAAATCTTTCTTTTTGTTTTTGGAAGTAACTTTTGATTAAGCACTTGCTATTTCTAACAGGTTGAAGAAGGATGTGCCAGATGTTCTGCTACAACTGCAGACTTGACTTCGATGGAGATGAGGGAAGCTCTCAATTCGTTCCAGCTTGACGGTTCACAAGAAGCTGCTGTTTTGAGTTGTCTTGCTGCGAGAAAATGTCGTCACCAAAATACGATAAAGTTAATATGGGGTCCGCCAGGGACTGGAAAGACTAAAACAGTTGGTTCATTATTATGTATGTTGCTGAGGATGAAGTGCAGAACCCTAACTTGTGCTCCTACTAATATTGCAGTTGTAGGAGTTACCAAACGGTTTATGAGCTTACTGAGGGACTCTTTGCCACATAATGTGTATGGTTTAGGAGATGTAGTTTTGTTTGGAAATAGAGAGAGAATGAAGATTGATGATTGTGTAGACCTTCAAGATATCTTCTTAAATGACCGTGTTAAAATTCTTGTTGATTGCTTAGCTCCATTTTCAGGATGGAAAGGTATCAGTGAGTGGATGATTTGTTTTCTAGAGGATCCTGAGGTTCAGTATCAGTTGTACAGGAAGAAACATCTAGAAGGTGATGAAAGGGAGTCAGAAGATAAGGATGATGAGGAAGAGGATTTGGCTGATCCATCACGGGTAAAGGAAGCAATGAAAAAGATGAATTGGAAGACTCTCATTAAAAGTACATTGAAAGGTGAAAAGAGACCGATAAATGGTGAGATCTCCACTAAGACTGCAAATGAACTTCCATCTAAGCAAAAAACGGACAAAACAAAACTTCCAGATTATATTATGACATACGAGCAGTTTGTGACAAAGGGGTTCAACTTTCTTGAAAATCGTCTTGCATCTTGTATTGAGAACTTGTGTATGCATATGCCGACGCGCGTCATTTCAATGGGGGCAGTTGAACGAATGATTGGACTTGTTCGTTCTATGAAACGTTTTGGACAATTACTGAAGCAAACCGTTGATGCGAATGTAAAGCTAAGAAAGGCCATGAATGGATTTGATGATTTTAGGACAGGAGGAATGAGTAACTTATATGCTCACAGAATGTCAATTCTTAAATCACTCAAATACCTTCAAAAAGCATTGCTTTTTCCAGATATTAAGGGAGGTTCATATAAAAGATTTTGTTTGGAAAATGCATGTTTGATATTTTGTACTTCATCAAGCTCCACGAATCTGCATAGAGAAGTAAAGGAACCCTTAGAATTTCTTATTATTGATGAAGCTGCTCAGCTAAAGGAATGTGAATCTCTCATACCCTTGCAGCTTAGAGGTCTTCGTCATGCTATTCTTGTTGGGGATGAAAAACAACTCCCTGCTATGGTTCAAAGCAAGGTTTTGAACTTTTCATATATAGTGCTGTATCTCTCTTCTTTATACCCATGTGTTAGTGTTCTCCATAGTTAATAACCTTGCATTTGTTGCACTGTGTACTGTGTTGATATATAGATTTGTGAGGAGGCTGAATTTGGAAGGAGTTTATTTGAGAGGCTTGCATCATTAGGCCATAAGAAGCACCTTCTTAATGTTCAATACAGGATGCATCCATCCATAAGCCAGTTCCCAAATAGGGAGTTCTATGACAACCAAGTCTTGGATGGTGGGAATGTCAAAAGCAATTTGTATGGGAAGTGTTTTCTTCGAGGAGGTATGTATGGTTCATACTCTTTTATAAACGTAACTTCTGGCAAGGAGGAATTTGATAGGAGCCAGAGTAGAAAAAATCTAATGGAGGTGGCTATTGCAGCTGAAATAATTGCAAGTCTTTTTAAAGGTATCTCTCTCTCTCTCTCTCTCTCTCTTTCTATCTCATAGTTGATCATTAAACCCTTATAGCTGTCATTATAGAATCTGTTGCAAGAAAACGGCGGGTGAGTGTGGGTTGCATATCACCATACAAGGCTCAGGTAACTGCAATACAGGAAAAACTTGGCAACAAGTACAAGGGTTCTGAAAATTTCTTTACTGTCAATGTCCGGTCTGTTGATGGATTTCAAGGGAGTGAGGAGGATGTAATTATCATATCCACAGTGAGATGTAACGGGAGTGGATCTGTTGGTTTTCTTTCTAGTCATCAAAGAACAAATGTGGCACTGACCCGAGCCAGGTAACGTGTATATTAGTCACTGATCTGGCTTTTTCGTTTTTTCTTTGTTCTTTTCTGTTCTTTTCTGTTCTTTCTAGTTGCATGATCTTTTCATTTATCCTGTTTGATCTTTATACAGATACAGTTTGTTGATTTTGGGTAATGGATCAACTCTGATTAATAGTGGATCTATTTGGAAGAACTTAGTTGTTGATGCAAAGGACCGTGGCTGTTTTTTCAACGCTAGCGAAGACAAAAACTTGGCTCAAGCTGTTTTGGGGGCCTTTATTGAGCTTCGCCAATATGATAGTATATTCAATATGGATTCATTCCTTTTTACTGATGCTAAATGGCAGGTATAGTCTTGATATTATCATCCTCATGAATGCACTGTCTAATGGTTTGATCTACTCAAAAAAGTTGCACATAGTAATGCAAGTTTTTTTTTGGCTTGTGGTAGGTAAAGTTTAGTGACATGTTCTTGGATAAAATTGGGAGATTTTTCAACCCTGAAATTTGTAAGGAAGTTGCTTTCCTTTTGGTTAAGCTTTCGAGTGGCTGGCGGCAACCACAAAAGGATGGAAACACAATGGTCAACATAGAAGGAGCATGGCCACTCTTGGTGAAGTACAATGTTACACGAAACTTGCGATTGATTTGGGCCGTAGACATTGTAGTACAAAATTCACGTTACATCCAGGTGCTAAAGATCTGGGATATTTTACCTGCTGTTAAGATTGAAAAGCTGGCAAAGATATTGATGCAAAAGGTATATGGGAATTATACGGAAACTATGATTAGCCGCTGCAAAGAAGAATGTTTTGATGGGTACGTAGCAATATGCAGACTAATCTCTGATCATGTGTTATGGTCGGGTTTATACAGATAACTTTTTGGCAAACTTAATGAATTGTTTTGAAATATGAACAGGAATCTGACACTTCCAATTACATGGCCCCTAGACTCAGAGACAGATCTTAGTTGGAACTTGGCGAACCAGTTAGCTGCTTTAAGTTTAAGGGACCAGTGTGCATCTTCTTCGTCATCAAGAACTAGAAGTGGCTGGTGAGCTTTTTGGACAGCATTTTTGATGGTTAATTAAGTTCTTGTATCCTTTTACAAAATTGATTCTGTTTATGTTGCTACTAATAGTGGGTTCGGTGATACAAAATCCACGAACTACTGTTATTCAAAATCTCATGGAAGGAGAAGTAGGCGGGAAAGCGAATGGCCTTGTATATGGTTTTTTTTGGCATGCTTGTAATCAATGGAAAAATGGGATTGAATCAAGAACAGCAGTGTTTGGTCGGAGTTTACCGGTTTTGTGGTGGGTGATTAAACTTGATCTTTAAAGACGTTGATTTGTTTGAGAAGCCATGGTCGTTGGACCTATGCATGTATCAAGGAGCTATCTACCGTGATAAGTTCTTGCTTTTGTTATCTGTCATGTTTGTGTTTATGGCTACTTCATGCTTAGATTAATCCACTTGTAACACTACAAAATCAAATCCAAATTTGTGCAAATTCATTCGAATAAAAGTGTGATACAAAACCCATAAACATCAATTACAAGAATATCAACCAACATGAAGCATCAAAAACACAAACACAGCCAACCAGATTTTTATATGTTCCAACCTCATTAGATTTATAAAATTCCAAATGATAAATTAAAAAACACTCATGAAGCCTGGAGATCTTCCAATTAGCGATTAATTTTCTTTAATTGCATGAAATAATAAATTACAAAAATACTCAACCGCAGGCGGTGACACGGTTTCATTTATGCGCTCCGATGATTATTGCTTCTCGTCTCAATACATTAATACAGAGCTGACAAAGTATTACAGAGCTCCGGAATTTCGTCATAACTAAACCCACAAACCCCACCCTTAACCACTAAAAAAGGACTTTCCCCATCAAAAAAATCCATCGGTAATCCGTCGCTAAAAGTCGGATTCATTGGTAATCCGTTGGTGAAAGTCCTTCGCTAAAAAGTTGTGGGAAATGGAATCATCGACGGATATCACTGACGGCTTCCGTTTCCAACAAATTTAGATCTTCGACAGATTACTGACGGAATTTTAAAAAATGAATTACCGATGGATATTCCATCGCTAATCCGCCAGTAATCTTTTTTATAATAATTTAAAATTGCAAATTTCCTATACAATAAAACCTGTGAAAATGACTAAAATATAACAAGCTCAATTTTCTAAGATGCTATTCGATCAAAAAATAACATCCATACACAATAATTAACTAGATAGAGGGGGAAGGGGGATCTAACTGTCTCCTCGAAGTTATGTAGTCGTGCTTTGAGCTCATCAAGATCTTCGTTGGTTAAGCTCTTGATTTTTCCTACTCAGTATGTTGTTTTCCCGACTATCGTAACTTATTTTCTTCCTCCGGAAGTTGTTATTCAACCATGAATCCTCGATCTTGAGAAACCCAGATTGTTATTTAAAGGGTTTTTTTGTTTGTGGCAGGTAAAGTTTAGTGACAAGTTCTTGGATGCAATTAAGATATTTACTAATCAAGAAATTCATAAGAAAGTGGTTTCTCTTTTGGTTAAGCTTTCTAGTGGCTGGTGTCAACCACAAAAGGATATGATCACACAGATGGAACACGTTCACTAGTATCTAGATTCACTCCGTTGCTAGATTTTTTTCGAGGTAAGCTTTCTAGCGTCAACCAACCACAGCAAGATGAAACATTCAACCAAAGATGGAAGAAGCATGTGACTTCTGGAGAAATAGAATGTTCCACAAGACTTGTGTTTGATTTGGGGTGTCTAGTACAAGATTCTGCGTTTGCATCCAGGTGCTAAAAATCGGGGTATTCATACTGAAACTGTGTTGATGGGTATGTTTGAGTTGTAATCCTTTGCCTCTACTCAAATTGATCTTTGAACATTGGGTTATTGTCGGTTTTATCGTTTAGAAACTATGAGCAGGAACCTGACGCTTTCGATTACCTGGCCCATAAACTCGGGAGACCGATCCATATTGGTCCTTGGCCAAGCAATTAGCTGAATTGAACCAGCCTGCATCATCAAGAAGCGTCTGGTGAGTTTCTGGGCCTTGTTTGTTGAAATCAGAGTAAATTTTTGCCTCTTGTGTTTAGGGGGTTAGGTAATACAAAATCTATCAGGTAGGGTGATTCAAGATCTGGTGCAAGGGGAAGTAGGTGGTAATTAAAGCAACCCTGTGGCATGTAATCAGTGCATGCATAACTTACAACATTGTGCCTGGTTGATGTGTTGAACTGATGCTATGTCATCACGAATGCACTTTTCTAATGGTTTGCTCAACTCACGTAATTTTCTTGCACATTGTAATTAAAGGTTTTTTAGGCAAAATTCAGTGACGTATTAGACTGCCTCAGAAAAAGAATGCGTGTTTACTTTTGGTAGGTTTGTTTAAATCATACCCATTGGAGTCGCCAGAACCTGTCCTCTCACAAACAGAGTGAAAAAAAATAACAGATAAGAATGGATCCCATATGCATCTCAACTATCTGCTAAAACACCAACACAGTCCCATCCTTATACAGATACAAGTCATTTGCACAGCATTTACAAATTACAAGTTTCAAACACCAATCCCACCATTACGCTCTTTACCACACACTCCCAATTTCCACGAATTGTAGCCCGGCTTCCATGCCCGTATCATTATTAGTGTTAACACATACCTGCCATCAGGATTGCATCCCAAGTGTCAGAGACCCAATCTGTACTTTTAAATTCAGGGTCCAGGTTTCATCTAAGGAAAGTTACTTTATCTATCAGATTGCTTGTTTATATTTAATCATCCAAAGGTTCATGGGTTGGCTTGGCATAGTATATTAGATATCACCATAACCAACGAGAACAACTTGCAGCCTCTTATTGATATCAATTTCCATGCCATTCCAGTAAGTGTTTCAGTGGCATATGTGCATAAGAAAAACCAACTACACAAGATATCAATTAAGAATTTAAGACATTACTTATGAACAGCATGACGCAGCACGAGCTCCTTCTGCAGGTCTGTCAACAAGGACCATCCCCGCTGGATTTTGATTTGGCTGAGCTCTCGGCAGTCTCTTGGCTGTTTCAAACACAACAATGCGCTCTCAGATGATAAGATTAAAGCAAGACAAGGCTTAATAAACCACATTTGTCATCCAAGGATGGAAAACCGAGAAAAAAGAATGAAACACAGGCAAAATATTGTTAACAACTCTAATCATGTATTTGTCAAGATCTACAGATGAATCATGCATGTATGGTTCAACACTTACCCTGCACTAGAATGGCTATGGCAAACGGATATCTAAATGATGCCATGGATGATAAAATTACACATTATGAACATTCAAACAGATTGAACTTGACCATATCAATAATTCAAATAGGGGTTTGTATTTGAAGAATGTGGGGTAAATTTTAACTTAAAAAGTGGAAGTAACCAGCTCCATTAAATTTCAAAGCTTCCCAACAAAATTGTAGACATACCTATTTCATGAAATACATCATTAACATTGGCAGCAGTTTTAGCGGATGTCTCCATGAAGAAAAGACCATTCTCCTCGGCATAGGCGCGTGCCTCCTGCACGGTTAATAAGCATGTGAGTAGCTTACATCTCAACTCGGATGATACATTTTAATGGCATAGGATATATACACTTGTACGCAAAAAAAAAACCGGATTCCATATGTTTATAATTGCAAGGTAAAGAAGATTGCTTGTTTAAACATTGGAGAGAATATGCACGATTAGAAGCTTCTATTGCAAGGTAACCATCGGCATAAATTTTAAAAGCTAGCATGTTATTTTTAAATCTGTAAGTGTCCTAATTTATCTTTTATATTCACAGTGACCAGAGGTTAAAACCTAGACCAAGCTTTCTTCTACAGAATAACAAATATACTCACTCCAGAACGCTTCCTTTTTGGGATGTCCTGATAGAATTACTAATACATCCATTTCTTGGACATTGTAAAGCTAAACCACCTATATACCCAGATAGCAATCATCATGAAAGTAGTGGTGATTTATTTGGTATAGAATATGTAGTTTATTTTAAATTTTAGGAGATAAACATAAGAGTTTTTAGTCATATGGTTGGTAAATTACTGGCTAATAAATTCTATGTAATGTCTAATGTTGCAACTAGTACTGGGCTGATGGTGTGGGCACAGATTTGTATGAATCACAACTAGCCACAGTTAAAAGTCCAAGCAATTGTGCAAACTAGAAAAAAATGCATTAAATGGGAGCATTTCTTTTCAAAAGATAATCAGCTATCTTACTCTTCAAAGAATGAGAATTTCTCACCCCTAACCACATTTTTTATAAATTTCTTCTATTTTCAGTTGGTTGTCTTTCACACATTAATAATACAAGACAACGAAGGGCACATAGGCATATGTGAGAGATACTTGTGGAATTTAGCCACTCCGAAAAATTGGTTTGTTGGATCCATAATATCAACTTTCAAATGGTTAGTGTCATCAGGGTCATAAAGAACAGGTAGTTGATAATATATCATTCTCTAGCATACAGTGACAACGAAGTGGAATGCACAAACTAGGAAAAGAAATGCTTATTTGAATACCACTCAAGGAAAAGTTTACATGGACTAAAAGAGATACAAATAATAATGACATATCCAGCAACAAGCCAATTGAGTTTAAGCTCTCGGGGAGAATTTTATATCATGTCATAATTATCCACTTAAAATTTGAAAAGCATAGAGGGGCTGCAAGAGAACAGATTTAAACATAAGTAAATAGAATGTTCCACTTAACAACAGAGGTTGAGCAACATGCTATTTGGGTTTGAGATATGTAGACACCAAAAAGATAAAGGGGCAACAACTATTCTATAAAGATTCTGAGTTTTCCTTCTAAAATCATAAATCCTAGAAATCAGTTTCATAAGAGTAAAAAATTGGAGAAAGATGCATACTTCTGTTGTCACTTTCCTCTTCTCTTCCAGATCAGCTTTGTTACCAGCAAGTGCCATTACCATATTAGGATTGCCTGTACCAGCCACACATTAAAATATAACTTAGTTCAAGAATTGACAGAGTGAAAAGAAGCTTAGAATTATAGAATTGATAGCAATCATTTAGCAGAAAACCAAGCAAGGGGTTCCCTTTCTTCTATGCAAGTACACTTGCAAGATTTTTGGATGATCTAGATCTTTCTTCTACTATTATTTAGTGTTTTAGTCATGAAACAAAAACATAAATGATATCAGCTCACCTTGTTTGTGTAATTCTTGCACCCACTTTTTAGCCCGTGTAAAGGAATCCTAAAAGTAATCAAATAAAACAGCTAGTAAATTAAAATTTTCAAACACGTCGGCAAGAAAGAAAAACTACAAAGTATTATAAAACCATCCAAACCAGGTAGCTTTTGCATTAAACTTTTTGAATTTTATTTACTTATAACAAGTGATCCAGGTGGCTGAGCATTCTACAGGTAGCATGCAATACTTGAGCAAAACATGGATGCAATTATAAGAGGCAATACAAGGCCAAACCCCAATTAGAAACTGGAAATCCAAAAATAACTACAATGGTTTGAAACAAGTGAAAGTCAAAACAGAAACTGAGATGATTGCAGGTTGACAAGTCTGATGTGTCAAATTACTACTCCAGTCCCAAAATAAGCGTCCACAAGAATTAATAACTACATTCCCATTTACCCATAATTCATCATAAACTCGGACATAATCCCATATTAAGTACTTATGTTACAATGAAACTTTTAAAAACTAAGAGAGAAAAGAAAAAATACACACTAGCACACCAATACTCCCATCCCAACCACAAGGGTTGGGGATGTGGTGGAATAAGGGTTCGATTCCAGATGAGCACAACAATCTCTTAGTCAACAATCTACAGCAAATTAACTGATACAAACTGTGGTAGTTCCAGGTTCAAGAAGCAATATGACACAATACACTAATCAGCTCTCTAAATTCCACATTAGTATCCAGGCAAATCTCATAACACCAAAACCAGATGTAAACCAGATTCTAGTATGCTTAAATTTAAGCACATGAGAATAGTACCGCGCTGGTGATGTCGTAGACAATAATTGCTGCTGCAGCGCCCCTGTAGTACATAGGAGCCAAACTATGATACCTTTCTTGACCTGCAGTATCCCAGATCTCGAATTTCACCGTCGCATCATTCACCGCTAGGGTTTGCGAAAAAAACGCCGCTCCGATCGTCGATTCCTTTGTCCACAACAACCATACAGATGAAATCAATAACCAAACCCATACAACCATGATGAATATCAAACCCTAGAAAGTCAACGTCAAATGGAGAAGTCAATAGAACCAAAAATTGAACCTGGAATTCTAGAAATTGGCCTTTGACGAATCGCAACACGAGACTTGATTTACCAGCTCCCATGTCTCCAAGCAAAACCTAACAATCATCGCAGGTTAAAGTTTGAAACAAAAAGGTAAAAGAAATGAAGAGATTAGAAAAGTGACGATGAAGGAGTTGAGTTACCAATTTTGCATTGAGATTATTGTGTCCGATTGTGGCCATATTGATACAATCGATGGTGGTGTTTCCGCAAATAGGGGTTTTTGTTTTGCAGCAGAGCCGAGAGACGTGATCTGAATTCTGAAACACGGTTGGGGAAGATGACGGTGGATATTGAAAATGTGGCGCAAAAGCAAGAAAACTCCAATAACTATTGAAGTCTACGCATCGACCGACTTATTATTTGCTTTTACTATTTGATGCTTACCAAAAATCTTTCTTTAAAATATTTAATTATTGTATTTTTTTAATAATCATCTTTTATTTATGGTATTGATTGATTCATAAATTTGGACATTCTTTCAAGAATTTCATCGCCATTACTAATCATTTTTTTGTTTCATAAAATTTAGTGACATTTGAATCGATAGATTTTTCAACTCGGAAATCTGTAAAAACACCATCTTTAACAGATTCTTTTAAATAGAAGTTTTAGAGATTTTTGTTTTAACAGATTCTTCAAAACTTTATAAAGTTGGCAAAGATATTGATGCAAAAGGTACATAGGAATTGTAATGAAATTGTGATGAGTCGTTGCAAAGAAGAATGTGTTGATGGGTACATTGGAATTGCAATCCTTTGTCTTTGATAGTATGGTATGGTTGGTTTTATACAGACAACATATTCGCAAACTTAATTAATTTGTTTTAAGATATGGACAAGGATCTGATCCTTCGAGTTACATGGCCCACAAACTCATGGACAAATTCAAGTTGGTCCTTAGGCAAGTTAATTAGTCGCATTTAGTTCAAGGAATCAGCCTGCATCTTCGTCGTCATCAAGAATTATACCTGGTCGATGAGCTTTTGGATCATGTTTTGATGGTTATTTAAGTTCTTGTATCCTTCTAGAAATCATGTTCTGTTTGAACGCAAGTGTTGATCATGATAAAATGTCTGATTGAGGTAAGTGTTGGTCAAAATGATTTTTATTAAGTGTTGACCTATATAAAATGACCATTACATCCTTTTATTTAAAAGAATATGATTGAAATTTGTTGTTTACTATCTATTTTTTATTATAAAATTTATTGTTTATCAAGAACTTTACATATAATTTTAATCATTAAAAATCATTTTTTTACCTAACACAAGAATATATTACATTATTATTAACTTAAAAAGACAATTTAAAACACA